TGTGTGTGTGTGTGTGTGTGTGTGTGTGTGTGTGTATTGGGGCAGGGGGCTGCTCAGTGATGGGCTCCCACCACCTATCAGGAACTGCAAGACCATGAAGTGTGCCAAGCAGAGAGCTGGAAAGCCCCACTGGGGGTGAGTGTGAGGGAGCAGGAGAAGGAGGGAGGGGGTTTTCACGACTTTCCCTGTGCTCAGAGCCCTGGAAACCCAGGATCCAGAAGCTCTGGTCGCCTACTCCAAACTTCCCCAATCTTGGTAGGAATACCCGAACCTATCTTTGGGGGTCTAGAGGGGTCCTGTGGGTTTAGGCTGGTGAGTTTAGGCAGTGAGGTGAGCTTGGACAAACAGTGTGCTCCTAAATCCCGCCTACTCTATCTCCTTTGCAAACCTTTTTCCTAAATCTGATTTTTGAAACCTCGGGCTGTCCCTGAGCACCGCTCCTCTCCCTCGCCCCCCACCCCGCCCCTCCACTTCTATCTATGTTAGTCGGGGGGGATAGCGCCAGACTCAGGAACAGGGTGGGTTAGATTCACTAGGTAGGGGTTCGATCTCTAGCAAACAAATAGCATCCGGGGCCCCAAACCCTGAGACTTCTGGCCGTCTTGTCCAGCCTCGTGTAAAGTTGACCCTGGACCTTTTGGGAAACGGCGTCTGGAAGGAGATGGTGGCCCCGGCTACAATCAGGGCGTTGGGGACAGAGGGTGAGAACAGGAAGGAGCCAGGCTGAGATGTCGGGGAGCGGGACCTGCGGGAACCCTGGCAGGGAACGGCTTCTCTGGGAGCCAGTGGAGTGAAGGTCAGACTCACGCGTGCCGTCGAAGCGCGTGGCGATGGTGTCCAGGAAGGTGTTCTGCGGAGCCAGGAGTCCCCGCATGGCCGGCATCTTAGGCGGCCGTGGCCGCCTGCCCCATCCCTCCGGGGCGCGGGGGCTCAGCGCCGGGGGAGGGCGCCCAGCTCGGCCGCCCCCCACCGGGCCCCGCGCCCCCTAGCGCAGCCGTCGGAGGCTGAAACCCACCCCGGGTTCGCAGGCCCGGCCAGCAGCCGGTGCGCGAGGGGGCGTCCCCGCCGTCGGGGCCCGGAGCATGGCGCGCGGCCTCTCGCGTCCTGGCCGCCCACGAATGCCGGGCTCCAGACTCCGCGCTCGCCGCGCTCTCCGCACCTTCCGCTCGCGGCGGCGGCAGCAGCGGCAGCGGCTCCCGTTTCGGCTGCGGGTCGGCTCCCGCTCGGGCTCCGCTCGGCGCCGGGTCCCCGCAGCTCCCTCGGTCTGTCGGGGAGAGGAGGCAGCCTCCCTCCCTTCCTCCGGCGCCCGCCGCCTGCACCGGGGTAACCATGGAGACGGGCACACCCAGGCAGGGCCGCCTCCTTAAAGGGACAGGCCTCCCGCCTAGGGATCCCCTCCCCTTGGGACCTCGGTGGGGGCAGGGGAGGCGGCGGCCCCCCTACCCCCGCCGAGCCTGCTGCCCGAGCCGCCCCAAGCCGCCCCGCCCGCCCCTCGGAGAAGACCGGCGAGCGCCTGGTCCCGCTCGGGCTGACTCAGCGCAGGGGCGAGGCGTCTTTCTCTGCAGCATGGGGGTTCGCACAGAGCCTCGCAGACTCTCCTCCCCCGGAACGACCAGAGGAGAACTCCGGCGGGGGGGTGCGCGGGGAGGGTGGGGGGGGGCTCTGTGTTTTAGAAGACGCTTTCCCCAAGGAAAAAATGTAAAGGGAAAGGGGGCTGGGCGGTGGTGGGAGGTGGGGAAGGCAGGCAGAGGGACCCCAACTGTACGGGAAAGTCTAAAAGGAGATGGGCTGGAGGGTGTTTAAACGCAGCTTCTGGGCATCCAAGCCTTTGTCAGCCTCAACTTGACCCTCGTCACTGGGAGGTGCAGCTGCAGACAGGAGCTATCAGGAAACCGGAGGGTGGGTAGCCCTGGAAGTAAGGTTGAGACGCTCTCGGTGAGTGCCGGTGGTAGTGGTGGGTGTGTGTACGGAAAGGGTGTGGGATACTTCTACTCTTTGTCACCTTTTGCCTCTCAGGCAGCTCCCAAGGGTCAGGTTGCAAATACAGCGGACGGGTAGGACGTCAGACACTGGGAGAACTTCTTAGCCTCGTGCGTGCGGATCCCTGGCGAGCGAGCGAGCGGGGAGTGAGAAGGACCCGGCCAACGCTGCCCCAACTCCTCGAGTCCCAGAGTAGCGGGCTCTGCGCTGCGGGGGGAGCGGTGGCTGCAGGGACCCCCTCCCGTGAGAGGGTGGGAGGAGGGGCCGGGCGGGGCCTAGCGGAGCGGGGCCGGGGCGGCAGTCTGTAGCTTGTCTCCGCGCTGCGTCGGTCCCCCCGGCTCGCTCTGCCAGCGCCGCTCCTCCTCCCTCCCACGATTTGCCAGCGAGCGCGGCTACCGCCCGCGCCCAGAGGAGCCGCCGGGGCCAAAGCAGCAATTTGTTCCCCAACGGGTGAAGCGGGAGGCCCAGCACCCCCGCCCCTCAAAGAAACACATCCACAGCCACCAGCCTCGGAAAGAAAGGAGTGTCGCCCGCTCCACCCACCCCTCGTCAGCGACACGGGCCAAAGCCCCAGGCACCTGTATTTAAATGAGCTGGTGCTTTAGGAGGAAAGGGAGGAAGCTTCCTCCTTCCCAGGTCCTCTGAATCCTGGAATCCCGCTCCCAGGAAGAAAGACCCCAAGGAACCAACCTGTTCCCCACGCCCACCTCCACAAGCAAAGTCAGCCCTCCTCCAGCCCATCACCACACCCTCCACGCCAAGTTCAAGCATTCTGCTAGGAGAGGGTGCTGTTTGGTAGGAGTCTGCTCGCTTGGAGACCAGACCAGGAGGTGGTTGAAAGCACACAACTTGGGTTTGACTATAGTCCTGCCACTTGCTGTGTGATTTTCATTCGGGACCCAATTTTCTCCTTTGTGAAATGGAGATAATAAATAATAACGACTTCAGAGGGTTGTTAGGAAGATTAAATGAGTAAAGGACTTAGAACAGTGTGTGACATTTGCATCATGTAAATGTTTATTATCTGATTTTGAATCTCATAGAACCCCTATGAAGTAAGGTAGATGCTACTTACACTCCACTCACAAATGAAACAGAGGAAGAGAGACAGAGAAAGAATGGGAGAGGGAGAGAGGTTTGCTCACAGTAACCGAGCTGGTAACTGGCAGAACTAAGGTTCCAACCATGACAATCTTCCAAACCCAGGTCCAGAGTCTGCCTCACTGCAGCACAGCCGTCCCCCCCCCCCCCCCCCCCCCCCCCCGAGGACCCAGAAAGAGCTTAAGGTTAGCTGGGGACCGGTTATCTGGGTTGTAAATCAGATCCAGGTGGCCTTCCAGTCCCCCGGTGTAAGTGCCAGGTGTTTAGGCTTTCGGGCTTCCAGCTTTTCAGCCTGGGCTGGTCTTGGTTATTAAAGACAGTGGTTTGGACATTAAGACAAACCCAAACCAGACACCTTGGGTCAGTGTGAGCAGGCAGTAGATGGCATGTGGGGGTGCCCCCAAAGAATTAGTAGTTTACATTTATTGAGCATTGGGTGCCAAGCACCGTGCTGAGGCAGAGGGGCTACATTTCTAAGATGCACCGCCTCCTCCTGCAACTCCAGCCTATTTTGGCGCCCTAGTCCCCCCAATACTAGAAAATATACTAACCTTTATTGACTGTTATGATCACTCTTCTTATCCCAGAATGAAACAATAATGTTTTGGTCTTTAAATCCCTTTCCCCACTGCCCTTCAAAGAATTTGTGGGAATGTGAATATGGGGTGGGGGTTGCAGCCACTGCCCAAGTCCTTCCTCTGAACTGACCGGGTTTAAGATGCCCCTTCAGCCCAGAGGCAAATTTTCAGGCATAGAGCCTCCCGCTCTCTTCCCTCTTTCACTTCACCTTGTCCCTCAGGTCTTCCTCTCAGCTAACACTAACAAATTCCATGCCTCCTCCTTCCACACCTCCCTCGCTCCCCCTGCCCCAATACAGAACAGTGTGTGACATTTGCATCATGTAAATGTTTATTATCTGAGGGGCAGGGACTCACATTTAGGAGACCAGAGAATGGGGGTTGGGGAGGAGCTGAGAAGTGAACAGGGTACTGGGAGGTCAGGGAGCACCGTAAGCCCCTTTCCTCTCTCATTCCCCCAACTCTTGACCCATTATTGGGCCACGGTGGGAAGTCACAGGGAGGGGAAGGTTGAGGGGGAGCCCTGTTCAGAGACAGCTCAAAGCCATCGTCAAAAAGAAGAAACTCGGGAGCCTGCATTTTGGAGCTGCCGTGGGAGGCCTGTGGGAGTATTATCTACAAAAGGAACTAAGAGAGAGAGAAGAGTGAAGCAAGGGAAAAACCGCTCAAGACACAAAAGATGGAAAAAGCACCCTGCCCCCCAGAGCGCAAGCAGAGTCACTGTATGCAGGGGGTGAGAGCAGGTGGCTGTCGAGGAACAGAGCCCAGGGGCCCCTCCCTTCTCCTCCCCTCTTCCCACTCTCTTCCTCCTTTCTGGAGGTCCCCAGGTCTGTTTCCAGCCTTGCTCTCTCAGCCAATGGGGCAGGTTCTGCTTCTAAGGCTGTGGTGAGCAATGGGAATCTTAGCCTTTCAAGTCAGACCGGTCTGGACTTGAATTCTGGCTCTTCCACTGATGACCTGGGGTGGAAATAGGAGTGGGGTAGGGGGTGGGTGTTAATCTCCAAGAGCATCAGTTCCTTCATTTGTGGAATGATCTTTCCTCAAAGGATTGTTGAGTGAGATGAACTAAGTGGTTGGGATTGTTATCAAAGTCCTCCTAAGTGCTTGCCCTGGGAATGCAGAAATGAGCGCAGGATGAAGCCTCACTGAAGGTTCGCCATCTCAGAACAAACAAACATTCTGGAAAACTTCGAGGCCTCCACTACTTGGCCACTCCTTGGCTGTGTCATTCTAGGTCATTCCTTTTCTGTCAGTGGAGGATCCTAGCTGTTGTTGAGTAAACCACAATACATTTTCCAACAAGGGAATCCTGGAAGATACATGGTTTTACTTACAGATCTGCAAACTGTTGTGGATCATATGGCTAGGAAGTGGAGGAACCAGATGCGAATCATGATTTGACTAGGTCGACAGGAGTTTGTCACTGTGCCATCTTGCTGGGGTGCTTTGTCCTGTCCTTTCGTAAACAGCCTTTTCAAAGGGGACGGTATGGTCATTTTGACGGGAGGTCACATAGTGACCTGTAGCGAGTGCCCACAGTGCCTGGCAACCCGGACCTCGAACCACAAACCGCGGGGAGCCCCATCAGCCCTGCGGGGAGGGGAACCCACTGCAGTCCTGCCTGTGGCAGGCAGGGGAGTGAGTATGAGAAATCTCAATCTCAATCTGCGTGTTCTAGCAACACCAGAAAACGGATTTGTTTGAAATCCAGTTACAGGGAAAGCCTAACTGGGTTAAGTTGAAGAGAGACATAAAAAGGAGACCTGACTTTTCCCTGAGGAATCAGAGTGGGTGGTATTTGTTCCTGCTGTTTTGACGGCAGTGAAGGGGCGGGTGGGCTGGAGAACAGTTGCGCTGGTGGTAGTGACGGTGGGTGAGTTTCCTCACCCAGAAAGATCTTCAGATAATGTTTCCCCCTTGGTTAAGGAGCAAAGTAGGTGACAAAGCTGCCTCAGCACCTGGGTGGAAATAACGCTCCCTGACTCTCCCCTGGGAAACCTCAGCTTCAGCCTCACTCCTGCACACTGCTGCAAGGGTGACTGTTTACCTGCGTGAACGCCATCAGCCTCTGGCCTACCCCGCCCAGGAGCTCAGAAACTGGGGATGAGGGTGTGCTTTTCTGACATGTATGGCAGACAGACAAGAGGGCACAGAGCTCACCATGCTGGAGGGATACGCGGTCAGGAGAAAACCTACAGAAGGAATAGGATAACTGAGCCATTGT